CCTTCCTGAGGGAGCCCCTGGTTCCGCGTTGGCCCTTGCAGTGGGTCAGGGTGGAATTAGGGCTGTGGGATTAATTATAAACCTCGCCCGTTTGGCTCAGCTGCCGTCCGGAACGCGGGGGGGAGGGAGCGGGGAAGAACTGTAGCTAAATGAAGGTGTTTGTTTATTATACCACTTATTTGTTGGAAAATTGACTGCTGAAGCAGCTGCCTGTAGTATAACCCATGTCGTACAAACCCTGTTAYATCTCAGGGCAAGTTTGGTGATTCCCCTACTTACAGTTTTGGAAAGAAGTTTTTCCCTCCCAAAATGCTGCAGAAATATTCATGTTTGTTTGGGCAYTATTGAAGAGATGAGTGGTGCTATGTGCATATATAAAATTAGCTAGTGCTTGTAGCTTTACTTTTTGCTTGCCTACGCTGCATTCCTTGATTACCCTTGTTTGTTGCACTGGGCTTGGCTGGTATGTTATGACTTTCTCAACTTTTTACTAGTTTTCATATGTGAATAAGGTTGTAACCTGTCATCCAAGTGACTAAAGCAAGGCATAATTTTGCAGCATAGTTACTCAATACTTAAATTCATCTTTTAAGGAGCTTTGAATCTGTAGCTTGTCCTTGAAATTGAGGTAAATTTGCTAATAGTTTCCTGGAGAAACTATCCTGGAGACTGTGCATAGGGTGGGCCTTGCTCAATCACAGCAAACCTGCCCATGGAGTCCCTTTAATAGGAAGCAGAGTTGGAGTTTTTGCAGCAGAAACAAATCAGACAAGGTAATGAACAGKGGCTGGTGTAAGTGCCACGTTAATACACGTTCTTTGACTCTTAGTTACCTATAGAGTAGGTAAGCACATTAGTGGACTAACCGATTAAGAGCTCCAGTTTCTTTGGCTGCTTCTTGTCTTTAGTCCTACTCATGTGACTCGGTCATAAACTTTGGAGCTTTTTTTTCCTCAGAATTGTGCACCTGAAGTTACTCATGTCAAATCAGTTTCCTGCTGAGGATTCTTTGGGGCAGTGCTTTATGTGCTTAACTTAATTACATCTGCCTCAGCTGAGGAGGTCTTTAAACCAAGAATTCTTAGGTTGTTTGCCCTAGCTATGTTTTACCTCCCAAGCTAAGGTGAGGCATGAATCATAACATCATCTTTTTGTTAACAGGTGGTTCATTAACCAAGTTGGCTTATTATTCAACAGTACAGCATAAAGTAGCAAGAGTGAGGTCCTTTGATCATTCTGGAAAGGTAAGAAGTGCAACATACRGTGCATCAATTGCATATGGATGACTTGGAACAAATGTACAGCTAAGCTTACTGRTATACTTAAGACTATTCCAAAGCATGTTTCCTGCAGCTTGGAAGAGCATGTATCTCCTGTAAATAATCTCTAGGTGTATTCCAGGAGAAGCTAAGCTTCAYTTTGGGTTGGGCAATTGCTTTTGCTTTGCAAGCTTTATATAGATCTAGATCCAAATTTGCAGGCATCACAGGTGGTCTTTTCACTGTAAGACTAGTAGTGAGACTTTGAAGTCGTGTAGTCCATACAYGAGAACTTGGTTACGTTCCTCACCTCCTGTAGGCTTTAGGTGTTCAAATAGCCTGGATTGCTACAACTGATGRTTGAAATAGTTATTTTATAGATGGATTAGTATGACACTGGTTTAAAAAAAAAAAAAAAAAATCTGGTGTAAGCATTACTGTCTCACACATTGACATCACATGTGTATGATTCATGGGAGGAAACTGATTATGTTCTTGACTTCTTACAGAATGCTAGGGTTTATTAGAATTACGTTCTTATTTGAAAGTAGCTTGGGATGTTCTCCTCTGGTAGCCATAACGTGGCTTCAAGACAAAGGAAGCTCAAATATCCAGTTGTCCAGCGTATGCAGTTGTTCCTAAATAATAAAATCTGTTTTCTGTTTTTTAAGGA